TGTTAGCAGCGCTTGTCGCGCCCCGTTAGCAGTGCTCGTCGTGCCCCTTAGCAACGCCCGTCGCTTCCATTAGCAGCGCTGTCTGCGCCCCTTAACAGCGCCTGTCGCGTCCATTAGCAGCGAACGCAATCTTAGCCTAGGACTACCTGCAATGTGCCAGCCATCGTGATCGCCGCTTAGGAAGATCTGGAATGCGCCAGCCAACGAGACATTAGCTTAGGACGACCTGCAAAGGGCCAGCCAACGAGACGGCCCCCCAGGACACCTTGTAGTGAGTTTAGGGGCAAAATCACTGCTTAGAGCACCCTGCACGTGTTGACAAGAAAGGGCCCGCCCACGCTTGGGCGAATTCGACCTCGTCGTCGATATTGAGGGACTTCTATCGAAGTGTGACGAAGCGTCTGCCGATGAGATGCTGATCGAAGGGCCTTCGCTGGCCGACGAAAGTGGTCGTCGACGAGGCGCTGGTTGACAATATTAAATCAGTGTCGTGGACGAGTCTCGCTGGTCGACAAAAGTGACTGTCGATGAGATGTTGGTCGACGGGATTATTATTGATGGCGGCATCGACCGAGCGGAGCCTTTTCTATCGACCATATTTTCATGTCCACAAATTTGACCCATTAGGGCACAGAGATCTCGATCAGAACGATATGTACCATCAATACCGCAATGGTCAACCTAGGAGTCGTTGCGGAAGTAGTAGATAGTCTGCTGGGGCATGAGGCTGCCGTACGGGAGCGTCACCAACATGATGAAATCAGCGATGTGGACTGTCAAACTATACTTGTTACAGTTTGTTAGTTTAGTTTAGGTGTTACACTGGGTTACTCTCTACAAGGTACAAACCTTTTAGGGTTTCCTATATGTTTGCTTGTACTTCTCTCGTCTCTCATCATTCATTTTTCCGTTCACTTCTTAACAAGGACCTCGTGCACGGTGGGTGCACGAGCACCCACTACCCCGTGCTGCAGTGGATGGTGAGTCCGCCTCTCCCCGAGCTGAAGATGACGAAGGCGACGGCAATCTTGTCGGCAGCGAAGGCGTAAGGGTTGCGGTGGTGCGATTTGAGGACTTGTTAGAGCCAAAGTCATCGGCGTCGACGGGACGCAGGCGCAAGCGCTGCGGTCGGCGGCTGCAGGAAGCGCGAGTGGTGACTGTCAGAATCCCAGCCACTACACCATTGGGATTAAAAAGCTTGTTTAGTAGCAAAACCCCCCTGGCAAACGTGTCTGTATCCCTTCCCTAAGATCAATTGGGGATCCCCAGTGAAGGTCTTCTGACACCCCCCCTCACTGGGATGCCCTAGGGCATGGACGCCAGCATGTGCGCACATGGGGATTCGGACCTGAGACCTTCGCTCTGATACCATGTCAGAATCGTAGCCACTACACCAAATGGATTGTTTAATTGCGGTGGAGTGCGCCCATAATACCACAGGCAAGCGTGCATGTGACCCTTCCCTAGGATCAATCGGGGATCCCCCTGCAGGTCTTATGACCGTGATGTCGCAGGTCAACGACCGCTCACCACGGCGAAGTGGAGACGGGTCGACATGGGTGTCGAATATGTCTGTCAGACGAGATGGCGGCATGGCCCCGGAGTACGACTACTTCATTTTTTCGAAGGACAAAATTGCCATGCACAAGCTGCTCGAAGGCCGAGTTGACCTGACGACTTGGACGGAGCCGAATGAGTCGCAGTTTGAGATTACGCAGCTTAGGAAGTTTACCGACGACACCTTGGAGATGCCAGACGATGACGACGTCCAGAGGCGGACACAATTTCGCTCCACGCACTCGCTGACATTAATGGCTTATCGACTTTGTGAAGACGCTTTCAAGCCTGGCAGTGCATCATGTAGACGTACAAGGTGATCGGCGACCTCTACATCGGCCAACTTGAGCAGCGACTGACGAACCTCGACAAGGGAGCGCCGCGACGGTTTACTGCAACCGCACATCGACTTGTGGATGGCCAGAGTCGACTATGTGATCGTACATCAAGCACGTCATCAAGGAAATCCCCGGAGGCTGCAATCTGCTGCACCGATTGTGAACCTCCCTGGCTTGCGCGAGCAGCTCACCGAAGACACCTTGTCAAGCTTCATTATCAAGAAGGTGTTCATGCATGCGTGCTCCCCACTGAGGTCGATGACACCTTGTCGCGCTTCATCATCAGCTGCTCGCCACCGAGGTCAATGATAAGCCTGATGCCCCTTCCCCTCCTCCTCCTCCTCACGTTTACCCACCGAAGTCACTTCTCCTCCATTGCTCGTCGCCTCCTACCGCGATGACTTCTCCTCTATCGCTCGTCTCCGCTTCGACGTACGCCACCAGCGATAAGAGGAGCGGCAATGCATCACCTTTGGCGCTACACATCGGCATCGACGGCGGTAGACGTGACGTGGTCGGCGGCGAGCAAGGCAACGATGCGAGGAAGCCGTCGACAAGGGAGTCATAAATAAGGGAGAAGTTGATATGGGAGTTGTTCACGAAAATTCATCGAGCAGTCGTTGTGGGCGACTACCCCTGCTACACCACAGTATCTTCCCTTGAGCGGAACGCTGACGTGCCTGGTGCTCTCATCCAATGGCTAGTAGCCGACCAAGGCCAGCGCACCCTGTCTGTGCTTCATGTTTAATCCGACCGTGGTGGCGAGTTCACCTTCAGTCTCCTTGCCGAGTTGTTTAGTGCGGAGAGCATCATCCAGACTTACAAGCTCCCGAAACCGCCGCAGCAGAATGGGGTAGCAAAGTGTCGCATTACCTTAAGGTGATGGAGATCGCGCACACATCTATGTGTCATGCACGTGGCCCCCCATTTTCTATGGCCAATTGCAGTCCACTACGCTGCTCACCAGCTTAACTTGTGGCCGAGGTACCCCGGTTCCCTCCCGTCCCATGCTTCTCTCTCCCACCCCCCCCCCCCTCTGGTCCCACACCTTTGGTTGCTCACCTGCCTCCACGTCCGCCTCATCTGGTGTGTCACACGTCACCCCTCTTCCCTCGATTGGGCCTGTGGGGAGACTGCTGCCTCTTGGAGCCCGTTACGTGGGGGTGTGCCTCCTATGTCACCTCCTTCGCTGCGGTCCCTGCCGTCACCCACGTCGTCACCCGCGTTGTCCTCGCAGTCGCCGCAGCAGCCTTCTTTGGCGCCTCAGCTGGTCGCTGTGGACACTGGTGGTGCTGGTTATGGGGGTGCTGACGCTGTTGGTGCTGGCTCCGAGGGCCCTACCGTAGGAGGTACTGGTTCTGGGGGTGCCGCGTGCACAGGACGTCTGCAGCGGCAGCAGCCGTTGCAGCCGCAGAAGACGTCGTCGCCACCTGTGATTGCACTTCGCCTTTTTTGTCTTCCTTACCCTTCGATTGACCACCCACTTCCCTCCTCCTCACCATCTTTCCCAGTCTACAGCCCCATGTTTCCTCCTGCGGCCTCGCCTTCGGCTAGTTCTCCTCCTCGGTCACGGCTGTCTCCTCCTATGTTTCCTATCTCGACTCCTGACTCTCACACCCGGGTCCATCGTTCCGTATCTCCCGTTCCCGCTATCCACTCTTTGCACCTTCTTTCTCTCCTTCCCTCGTGTTCTACCACATGATATTCTCCCGTTATCTCCTGCGTCGTCCCTTACTGCCTCCTCTACTCTATTCTCTGACTTCCTCCATGTCGCTCCTATCGTCTCCAGTGTCCTTTCATCCCTCGCTACTGACCCTATTGCTCCTCCACCGTCTGTTATCGTTGCTGTCGCTGAGGCGCGAGCGCAGGAACAGCGAATGCGTGCGACAGTGGCACAGTAGGCACAGGCGACATGCGGCTGACGTGGGCGGCACGCTGGCGGGCGCCTGCTGGCACAGCTCTGGTGCAGCTGGAGTGGCCGGTGCCGCTAGCACAGGCGCGGGCTGGCGCGAAGGCAGGGCGTAAACTGGCGCGCGGCGGGCTGGCGCAGTTGGCTAGGGCGGGTGCCCTAGGAGGGCGTTGGAGGGCATGCAGGATGACATGCTTCAGTACCGCCTTTGGAACTGGGAAACATGCCCCGTGTGTGTGGGACATGGTATGTTGTGTGTTTGCATGCCATGCCACGCCCATGCTATGCCATGCCATTACCAGTCAATCCTTCGCATGTACATCCCGTGCTGCCCCTTCTCAAAGCACCATCCTAGGCCAGTGCTACGAACAATACGGGGCTGGCGCGGCGAAGGGGGCTGTAGGGGCTGCATGGGGTTGCTCTAGGGGCCGCGATGGGGGCGCTCTAGGGGGCGCAACGGAGGCGCTTTAAGGGCGTGACGGAGGCGCTTTAGAGGTGCGACAGGGGCGCTCCAGGGGGCGCGACGAGGGAGCTCTAGGGGCCGCGACGGGGGGCGCTCTAGTAGCCGCAACGGGGGTGCTCTAGGGGGGCGATGGGGGCGCTCTAGGGGCCGCGACGGGGGTGCTCTAGGAGGGTGCAAAGTGGGCGCTCTAGGGGGCTAGCGAAAGGGCGCTCGAGGGGCAACCGGGAGAAAGCGTCATGAGGGTAGCTTGGGTAGGCAAAGCGGAAGTGGCGACCTCAACTAACATAATCTGACACCATGTTAGCACATAAAGGAATGCTAATGAGGGCATACAGATGTGAACCAGTACCAATCTTGTACCCGCTACAGAATAACCCCACATAGCCTAAAATGTGCACATACAAACGATGTGTGTAAAATGACAATCACAACTGTATGCCATCTTTCCGGTCATTCCTTCTTTCATTTACAGTGCTTTGCTGCAACTTGACAATGGAATTCTATGGAAAAAAATTATTGACACGAGCATTACTTGATCTGGTGCTAAACTTAAAGCCCAAGACCCGAATTACAAAAAAAGGAGGCAAACTGTGCACAGTTTGCCTCCCGCAGCCCACAGTTTTGCCCCGCGTTGACTTGCGTTGAGTAATTCAGGTCTTGGGCTTTAAAATCCATACATCACTTTATCGGCACTTGCCACGAGTCTTGTAGCCCAAAGAGTGCCTTTAATGGTTTAGCCGAGCATCAACATGCCATCCACATACACACACGCAGTGTGCCTGGATGCATGCAGAGCAGCGTCAAGGGCGTGGGTGGTGTGTGCCGCCCATGAGGCTGATGTGCTCGCACAGGCGGCAGGGCAGCGTGTCGAGAGACATCTGGCGCGCTCTCGAGTAGTTGCCATACACTCCACACCTGCTGCCGCCACCCCGGGGGCAGTGGATGAAGGATGTGGGAGGGAGAGGGCGGGGAGCAACCTTGAGTGGGGGGCGCATGACGCAAGTTGGGATAGAGGAGGGGAAGGCCAATGGTAGGGAGGTCATGTGCATGTGTGCAAGTGCAGGCAGGCATGGGAGATGCATGCTTGCAGCGCATGAGGGAGGCAAGGCAAGCAGGGCAGCAGGCGGTGCAGGTCAGAGTGGCATGACCACAGGCATGAGAGCAGCTGCAGTGCACTGCAGGCACAAGGGCGCAGCAGGCGAGGAGCACTCTCACACACATGCTTGCTGCTGGAGGAAGCATTGTGCGGATTTGAGAGCTCTGGCACATGAGAGAAGCGGGAGAGAGGGGGAGGGAGGAGAGGGCGGGCAGGGCAGGGCGTGCACCTGCGCCAGGCATGGTAGCCCATGTACTCGAGGGGGTCCGCTGCTATGCGCCTCACCATGGCGCCCAGATCCGCAGGCGACAGCCCTGACGCGTCAATGTACGAGTCGGGGGGCGCAAACGCTGCGATGTCTGGCGCTCCTATGTAGATGGGCACCGTGCCTGCATTGCACATGGACATATTGGATGCAGCAGAGCAGTGGGCGCAGAGGGGACAGGCAGGCAGCAGCAGGCAGGTATGCACACGATGGGGGCAGTGCACACAGGCGAAGGCAGGAGCAGCTCTCCCCATTGACTGGATTTGCTTTACCGCATTGCATAGCCTCAAGACATCACACCCCCATCCCCGCCCACCTGTGCCCCTCGAGCCCCGCCACCACCCGGCAGCCTCACCAGCTTCCAGCGGGTAGAAGAACTTCTCGGTGACATAGCCGGGCGCACGCGTGTTCTCAATGGCGAGCGAGAACAGGTAGTGCGACTGCACGCAGTGCGTGTGGTGCTGCCACCGCTCCTGCGCGCCGTACGTGTGTGCGCAGTGCGGGTAGAGCTGCAGCTCGCTGCCGTGCTGTGCGGTGGTGGAGCGGCACGCGCCAAAGGAGTGCATGGGCACGTGCTTCATGAGCTCCTTTACTAGTGCGTCCCGCCATGGCACGAAGTTGGACACCGCGTGGAACACTGGCACATCCTGGGTGGGGAAGGGGGGAGAAGGGGGAGGTGGGGGAGAAAGGTAGGTGGGGGAGAACCGGGAGAAGGGGAGAAAGGGGAGAGGGGCGTGGGGGAGAGGGGAGGAGGGAGCAAGGTGATGCATGTGTAACAGGTAGGGGAGTGGAGCGACGGAGGGCAGCATTGGCTGTGCGTGACAGCCAGAAGCAGCGGACTGGCAGCGGGATGCGTGTGGCAGCATGCGGAGAAGGAGCAGTGGGGTTTGGGAAGAGCGGAGGATGGCGGAACGGGGGGAGGAAGAGGCGGGGGAAGGTGCGTGTGCGGTGGCTCACAGTGCGTTTGTTGTCGGCAATGTAGCGCTGGCGGTCCCAGTGGAACAGATGCCCCGCATACGTCGCCTGCACCGTGGCGTTCGCACCGTACCCCACAAACACATCCACCCCCGCCCTCGCACCCACCCTGTCACTCCCCTCCCCTCCTTCCCCCACCTTTCCGTCCTTCCCCTTCTCCCCGGTCCCAGCCTTCTCCCCCTCTCCGTCAGTCCCTGCGGGGGGTTCACCCCAGGGGTGGGCCTCGAGGTTCATGTAGACGTGCAGGGGGTGGGCGGGCTTGGAGGGCGAGGGCGGCAGCACGCCCTCGAAGAGCAGGGCGTCGGGGTGCGTGGCGAGGGGGCGCGCACGCGTGAAGGCGCAGGAGAGCGGGCAGGGGTGGCACGCATGCACGCCCTCGATGATCGTCTCCTGCACCCACGTGCTGTTCTCCACCTGGTGCTTGGAGCGAGGGGTGCGGGGGTGGGACGGAGAGTTGGAGGTGCGAGGGAAGGAGGGAGGTAGGAGAGACGAAAGGTGGAGGGGAGTGGGGGGTATGAGTTCGTATGAGAGGGCTGCGGTGCTCGTTTGTGTGCGCTGCAGCGGATGAGTCTAGCATAGAAACTGGAAGAGGGAACTGGGAGGGGCGCATGGGGAGAGGCGAGGAGTGTGTGTGGGGGAAGGTGCAGCAGCGACGGCCTGCCTGCCATGCACACAACTGCCTCACAGGCATGGCGCGGGGGACCAGTGTGTGCACGGCATGGCACCCACATGTGTGCATGCTGGGTGCAGGTGGTGCAGTGGCGCATGCGGTGGCAGCAGGGGTTGTGATTTACCCGCACGGTGACGTGTGGCAGCTTGAGGCGATGGCAGTGCGCGGGGTTGATGGTCGCCTGTAGGCTGGGCGATGGTGGTTGCCAGTCAGAGGGCCGCCAGCCATGGATGCTGGCTGGCGGCACGTGGATACATGCACGCATGTACGTACACATCACACACAGCCGCATGCAAGCACGCCGCCCCCACATATGCAGACACCCATACAGATGTGGATGCAGAGACACACATGGAAGACAACGATTTATCCAGCAGCCTTGATGGGCGGCTGGTTCCGGCTGATCGAGCTGTGCAACAGCAAGAGCAAGAGCGTTGTGTGTGAGGTAGCAAGCAGCACAAGGTGCACTGGCAGCCGAGATGCGGCAATGGCGGCGAGAGTGGGCTGGCTTGACACGCCTAATGGCTGATTCACGGCGAGGAGGGCGCTACAAGAGGAGGGGAGGGGTGGGGAGAGGAGGGGAGAGGAGGGCAGAGGAGGGGAGAAAGAGGGGAGAGGAGGGAAAAGGGAGGGAGTGGGTGGCATGGCAACACAGGAGTTGTGGGCAGCAACAGGGGTGGAGGTACGACGGCGGGGCGAAGGAATGGATCGATGGGGTAGTTGGATGGGTGTGTGGTGCGGAGAGGGGTTGGAGGAAGGGAGTTGCAGGGCGTGATGGGGCCATGGGGGTTGCGCACCGCACCGTTGTGTTTGGCTCTGAACTTGGAGCACCCCACACGGCGGTCCCACCGTCTGCCCGCCGCCATCACGTTGAACCGCAGCACGTCCTCCAGCCGCACGTGCGCCCCGCCCTCCCCCGCGCCATCCCCGCCCTTCCCGCCGCCCGCCTTCCCCCGCGTGCGCGCCGCGCGCGGGCTCCGCGCCGTCGACGGGCAGCGTGGCGTCGATGAACTGGTCGTCAGCGTCGCTGATGCGTGCGTCCGGCTCGGGGTCCGAGTTGTTGTACGCCTTCACCTCGCGCGCCCGCCGCTGCCCGCCGCCGTTCCCGTTCCCGCTCAGCGCGCTCCACCACCGCCACGACCACCACGACGAGTCGCCGCTCAGCCTGTACTCGCTATCGTTCTCCCCGTTATCTGTTTCGTCGCTCAAATCCTCGTTATTGTAATCTCGGATATCCGCTGCTCTGAGAGAATTACGCGAGCGGAGCAGCAGCACGTTGACGGCGGTGAGAGCGGCGATCGCGCCAACGAACAGCAGCAGCACGCGCCGCCGCCGCGACCGAAACAAGTGCCCACCGGGCCGGGCGGTCCCCGGCTGCCGGCGCCGGCCCGCGAATCGCGGCCGGGCGGCGGATCCGTCGACGAGGCTCCCCGAGCTGCCGATTCTACCGGCCGCGCCCCTGCTGGTGGTGGTGGCGCGCGCACCGCTCACGGCGCCAGCGCGCATGGCGTCGGGCGCTGCTGCCGACGACGGCAATGCGAGCGCGCGATGCGATGCCGAGGCGTCGAGTCGGCTTGTGAACGTCGCTCGGTCGCGCGCGTCGCTCGACGAGGGTGCGCGTGGCTGCATGGCGGGAGGGCGCACCGTCACGCAGGGCTGGTGCGGCGAGGGGACGCGAGGCGAGACGAGGAGGAGTGATCAGCGGTGACGCGTGCTGGGACGTCCTTCGGCGCGCTGCTCGAAAATTTGCGTCCTTCCACCGTGTGTCAGCTAGATCGCCTGTGCCACACAAACGCGGGAGGAAGTACGTGGGACGAAATTATGCGGTGCCATTGACTATATCTGAACGTGGCTCAAAACTACCGACTGGCTTGTCCGCACCTTTACCAAAGACGAAATTGTGCGACGCGACCGATCAATTCCGCCTACCACCCTCGCAGGCAAGGGGGCGCCCGGCCCTTCAGCTCCAGTTTCCCCGCGAACAATGACAACGAGTACTTCGAGCTTGCCGCCATGGCCGTCTGCCAGTAGCCTGACAAGCACATTTCGTAAAAATTACTTACCGTCTGGCTTTGATTTCACCAGCATTATAAGGATTTACAATCCTTACTCTAGAACCTGGGCTGATTTTATCAGGGTAATTACCCTGATTTCAGGGTGATTACAGGCATCTCACTTGGTGGTCCCTGCAAACTCAGTTTTTTTTACTTGTGAACTCTGATCCAATCAGAGAAGATACTTAACGAACTCTGAAATCTTTTAACTAGGCTCAGAGTAGTGTGCTTACGGACTCTGTCTATGTAGAGTATGCGTTCGGTGAACCCTGAATGCGAGGGTATCGGGAGGAAGGTTCCTCGAAGTTTCCTTACGATAACCCCCTTGTGCGTAATCATTACTTCGCGTGCCCCCATGTGAGGTACCCCCTTCACGCGCAGGAGAGTGACGTAATACTGACAATGAAATGCACCGCCGTGCTGTACATCGCAGCTGGCAACAGCGACAACGCACACAAATCAATCATATCTTGCTGCCACGCGCACCGCACAGTGCATGGCATGCATCTGCCATTGGCCAGAACGGCCTCTTGACAGCATGCGGTGGCAGGCAAGCAGACCGTCAATGAATTCGACCTTGAATGCAAGGTCGAATTCATCGTCGAATGCTCCCATCAAGTACCTGGAGTCGCGGCGCGCTGGTTTCTTGCTGACCCCGCCTTCTCCAACCTTCCGTTCCCTCCCCCTACCAACAGCCATGGTTCATTTGGTCGCTGCTGTTTTCTTTCCATTCCGTGCATTCAGTCTCTCAATTTCCTCTCCCACCGTTTAGCTAGCAATCTCGCCGCCATGGAGGCCATGCCAGACGACGACGCTGCTCCTGAGACTGGCCCTGACGAGCCACCTTTACCGGTGAAACCCACCGCGCCGTCCGAGACGGAGAAAGCATCCGTTGGCCCCCGCTCTGGGCTCGATTTTCTTAGAGCTACGGCTGCTCCCGTCACACCAGAACCGCCTAGGTCCATCGTTCATGACTCAGCCGCTATAGTAACCCCTGCTCCTTCAGATTCTCCTCGTCCTGTCGCGTTCACTCTCCCCCCGGCTGTTGCTGGCTGTAGCAAAGATCCCCCACCGCCCTCGCCCAGTCCCACTCCAAGCACGGTGCGGGTGTCCCTTGGCCCGCCGTCGGCGTCTTCCACTCCCAAGCGTGCGCGATCTGGGAAGTATTCGCAGAGTACTTTGGTGGTGGGAGGCCGTCGTATTCCACCGCTTGAAAAGCCGGCTGAGCCTCCACAGAAAGAAGCTGAACTGCCGGAGGAAGGTGACATCCCGGTGCGGGCGGAAACCGGATCGCCCGCACTCACGAAGGCGCAGATGCGAGAGCAGATGTACCTGGAGGCGAGTATAAATTACGACACGAAGTGGGCGGGATACTTCTCATGGCTGGTGTTTGGGAAAACCAAGGACGGCTTTCCCTACGTGAAGTGCAGCATCTGCATGTCGTACGGGAAGGGGAACACGAGGTACGCCATGCAAGGTGACGATGGAGGCCGTGACTTGCAGACGCAGTCGTTCCGGGCACACGAGCATACGGACGCACACAAGGCGGCGGTGGACCGGCAGATGAAGATTGCGGCGGGAATCCGCGAGGGGCAGCAGGTGATTTCGGACTTCATCAACTCCGACGTCGAGGGCCGCCGCGCGATTCGACTGATGCGGTCGACTCAATTCCTGTGCCAGTGCGACGCGCCGATTAGCATGTTTCCAAGGCTGATGCGGCATCTTGCGGAGCAGGACACGCCAGACATTCCCCGGCAGTCGTACGGCGTTTATCTGACGCGGTAAGTGACGCTTATAATTGATTGCAAAGACAAACATGGAGCTCGCATCCTTGCTTGAGCGGCGTTTACTCATAATTTCTCTGTCCTTTTTTGCAGCTACGGCTTCCAGCAGATGGTCCACAGCATCAGCACTTACCTCACGCGGGTGCAGATGGACCACATCCTGGCATCACCGTTCCTGGGCATCCAATGCGACGAGAGCACTGACCGCACGCGAGGGAAACACATGATTGTGTACCTTACGTTTCTAAAAAACCGCCAAGTTGCATGCGAGTTTTTCACTTTGCTGACGATCGAGCGGTGTGATGCAGGGTCTTTGTTTGAGGTGCTTCTGAACCATCTCCGCTCCGCTGGTGTCGATGTGTCCAAGATCGTCGGCATCAGCACGGACGGGGCGTCGGTTATGACCGGGAGAGAGAACGGATTGGTGGCGCGTCTTCGTGAACACGACCCACATCTGTTTTCATGCCACTGCATCGCTCATCGGTATGTGAGTTGGTCTGTTGTATGGGTGGTTATCTACGCTGATTGGTTTTCTAACAAACCATGATATGTGTTCCCTGCTTTTCACAGTGAGGCGTTGGCTGTGAAGGACGCCGCGGAGTCAAACCCGGATCTCGGCATGGTCGACAAGGTGGTGCGCACCGTCGCGACGCTGCTTGGAAACTCCAGCGTGTGGAGTCAGCGGTTCAAGTACCTGCAGCGTGTGATTTACAAGACCAACCTGGAAGTCCAAGGGATCCACACGGTGCGGTGGCTGTCTCGAGGAGATGCGGTGGGCAGGCTTTGCAAGGTCCTCGGCGCTTGCATCGTGCTGCTCTGGGAGCACAATCACAAGGCGTACAAGATTGTGACATGCTACAAGTTTCATTTCTGCTTGTTTTTCTTGGCCGACATCTTGGCGGACATGAACGACCTCAACCGCTGCTTCCAGAGACGTGAGGTGAGGTCGAATGTTTATATGATGTTGCGACGTGAGGTTCCTAACTGCTCTGTTGCTCAGCCTACTCCCTGTTGTCTTCCCCTGCTCTGACACAGCTGGACGTGACTAAGATTGCGAAGACGATCGAGTCTACCACGGGTGACCTGACGGAGCGCTACTTGACGCCAGAGAAAGCTTTCGGGGGCGAAGGGAAGAGCTGGCTGGTTAACTTCCTCAAAGTCCACAAGGAGGGTGGAGGCAAGCAGGTCCGGGTGCGAGGCGTGGACGGTGCTGGACGCCCTATCAACCACCTGTACACCATGCATGAGCGGAAGCTGAAGGGGCACAAACACGGAAGCACCTACGCAGACTGCGTGAAGCTGTGCCGAAACTTCGCCCGTGACTGCGTGGACAACCTCAACGACCGGCTGGATGACCTTGGGAAGCTGGGGCCGACGAAGCTGTTCCGGGCGGGGAAGTGGCCGAAGATCAAAGCCCAGCGAGAGAAGAAGTGTAAGGAGTGGCTGAACGGATGCAGCAGGCTGTTCCGCAACAAGCTGCCGGGATTCGACCTCAAAGCAGCCGAGAGCGTTCAGCGCGATCATGGAGACACACCATGAGATGGAGAGCTTCACCCAGGGCCTGTCCAACTTCCTTGGGAGCGCAGACTCGAAGAGGTAGCCTATACTATGATTAAAAGAGTTTTACACTGTTGATGCGCGTCGCTAACTGTTTCCGTTGTGTTGTGTTTACGAATGTGCCTGGCAGGAGATGGCCCAACCTCATCCTGCTGTGGCAGGCGCTGGCTGTGCTCCCCCTCTCCACCGTGGAGTGCGAGAGTGGGTTCTCCAGGCAGAACGTGATCAAGTCCTGGATCCGAGGAGCGCTGTGCAACGCGCGTCTGGGGGAGCTGATGCAGATATCGCTCCTGAGGTATGAGATCGACTGGCCGGAGGCACTGGAGGTGTGGAGGTCCCTGCAGAGGAGGCGCCCTGCGAAGAGCTTGAAGCTGGCTGTGGCAGAGAGGGAGAGGAAGGGGAAGCAGAAGGAGGGTGAAGATGTGGCTGCTGGAAATGCCGGGGAGAACGAGGATGAGGGGGAGGAGGAGGAGGACGATGAAGTGGAACAGGCCTTCGGCGACGATCAGGAGATCGTGGGGGAGGAGGAGGAAGCGGAGGATAATCCATTCCTGTCGGACGATGAGGACGTCGAGGAGGTGTACTTCTTAGACAAGACCGTGCACTAGACTAGATAGCCTAGGCAAGGCAAGAGCATGCAGTTGTAACATTTTGGAAAGTAGTGCAATGTTAATAGCAACCCTGTTTTTGAGCTGTGAACCCTGTCTGGTCAGAGTAGGACTTTGTATGACACAGAGCTATCAGAGTAGCTACCTTGCGAAAAATGTGCCCTCATAATAGAGGGGCAAAATTTTTAGTGGAATCAGGGGGTCCTAAAACGAAACGTCAGCCCTGTCTAGAACTCGTTAGGGAGTACAAACCCGACGCGACAAACCAGTTCGGCCTATTTCGTTGGCCAAACCACCCCCGAGTCGCCTCCGCGCCAATCGCAACCCTTCCGAGCCAGCCTCGCCCGACCTCCCCGCCTAGCTTGGATTTTCCCTTTTTAGTCTCGTTGTTTTCATTGTATCTGTTATTAGTTGTAAAAGAGAGTGCGCTAAATAACAAATATCGAAGATGTGACTCAATAAACTGACAATACAATGAAGGCACGCGCTAATGTAGTGACTACCCTAGCTATGAGGGAACCTCGGAAAACGAGGTTGGGTGCAGGTTTGGCGATCGAATGACCGAAGGCGACGCGGGGCAGCTTCGGCATCGTGGATGTCGGCCGAATGTGCAAAGTCCGAAAATC